AACGTGTACTAAATGCAATGATTGTACTTAGATGTAAATTGCTAGGCATGGGAGCAAATTGATGATGAAATTAACAGCACAAAAAACAAAATCATAAAATGGGAAGAAAAAAATGAGAGCCATTTGTTGTAGTAATACCTAACTGGCTCTTATTTATAATTGTAAGATTTGTGGCTAAATTAGCTTATTTTGGACGGAAGTAGCTAAATTAGCCCAAGAGTTTGATCCCAAATGAATACTAAATGCAATGACTGTACTTAGATGTAAATTGATAGGTATATGGATGTAAATTGCTAGGCATATGGCAGCAAATTGATGATGTAGTTAAATTAGAATGAATTAAAATATTATTTTTTAACCAAATTAAATATATATGTAACAACACAAAAAACAAAAGGATAAAATGGGAAGAAAAAAATGAGAGCCATCTACTGTAGTAATACCTAACTGGCTCTTATTTATAATAGTAAGATATATATTGTGTGTGTCCAATTGACACATAAAATATTTATATTATGGGATCATTTGGAAAGCTTGTAACCCATTTTGAATCACATAATTTCTCATATTTTTTTACACACAAAAAAGACAAAAAAAGTTAAAAAAAAATTAAAAAGTTAGCTTTTAATCAACTTCCCAAATCACCCCTATATATACAAGAGCCTCACACCAATTTAAAAAATGGGCAAATTACATATACACCCCTCCAGGTTTGGTTAAATTACAGATACCCCCCTGAGGTTTCGGAAATTACATCCCGCCCCCTGAGGTTTGTATTTTCATAACAATTTACCCCCTGAGGTTTATATTTCATAACAAATTACCCCCTAATTTCTTATGCAAATATAGCATTCAGGGGGGAATTCGTAATTTCTCAAACCTCAGGGGGGTATCTGTAATTTTGTCAAACCTGGAGGGGTGTATATGTAATTTGCCCTTTAAAAATCAGAGTTGAAACAAATTATAATATTTAATTGATCCAACACATTAAATTTTTTTATTTAAAAAATATATTGATATCATATTACAACTTTTACTGTTTAAAATTAATCAAAATCAATCAAAATGTGTAATTTATTCTTGAAAAAATTAGTAAAATATCTCTCTTCAACTTTGGATAATCAGAGAGGTCCATTATACTTTTTCTTATTAGTTAAAGTCACTCAATAATATTATTAGAGAAATTTGCAGTCTGAAATTTCTCCATGATGAGCTGAAAATTTTTCTGTGAAATTTTTAAAATTTCTCTGTGAATTTGAAATTTCTCCGTAAAAAAAAATAAAAAAAATAAAATATATATATACATATATATATTATATATATATATATATTTATGAAGAGTTAAAAATTTATTTCTTTGAAAATATTAAAAAATTCCAACAATTAAAAAAATATTATATATGTTTTAACTTATAAAATTCTAATATAGATCTTAAACTAATTCCCACACAAGTTTCTTTGAATAAATCAAACTCAATGAAAGTTATCATAGCTTTTTAACGGCTGGGAAGAACCCATCCGTGGATGACACTTACCTGATCTGGCAGTTCTATCACATTTTGTTTCCTTTACAAGGCAAACCTGCACGCACGTGATTCAGGCGGCACGATAACAGGGTGTTTGGCGGAAAGTTTTTAGTATTTTTTTAGGTTAAAATATATAAAAAAATAAAAATAAAATATGTTAAAATAATTAATAAAATAAAATATCAAAATAAACTTTTAATCATTTTAATTTTTTCTCTCACAAATATCACATCAAATTATAAAAAAATTTAATCATTTTTCCAAACACAAAATATTTAATCTACTAAAATAACCAAAAACTAAAATAATCTGCTAAAATAACAATTTCTTAGACACCCACAATAATAACTCAATTTGTTGAAATCATCATATTTGTTTGATTGGGGTGTGTTTCATATAATTTATTATAAGTTAAATGTTGATAATAAAAAAAATTAAAATAAAAACATTTTTATTTCAGCTTTCACATAATTTTTTTGAACTTAATTAATCTATTTTTGCATAAGTTACAAATAGAAAGTGCATCAAACAATTTAGTGTAACTTTTAAAAAAAAATATATTAAAAATACTATATAACAAATAAAAAAAATTAAAATAAAGATATTTCTTCTACAACTTTCACATAATTTTTTTTCAACTTAATTGGTCTATTTTTGCATAAGTTATAAATAGAAAGTGCATCAAACAGTTTAGTACCATTTTTCTTTTTCAATATTAAAAATACTATAAACAACACAAATAATGTGCACCAAACAACCCTATTATAAGCTATCAATTTTTAAAATTATGCATCCTATTTTATATTGGACGTTTAGGCGAAAAATTTGTTTTTGAATTTTCTTTATCCAGAAGTCTAAGCATTAAAATACTTTGTCAAAAAGGACAAATTTGGACAAAATGACCACAATACCCATATATATATATATATATATCATAGACACGGTAGAAACTCTCATTTCCAAACAACTATTCTTACTCTGTCTCTCTCTCTCTTCAAACCCTAACACACACACACACACAATCTCTCTCTCTCTCTCTCCCCTCTTCATTTTCGTTGCTAATTGCCTTTGTAGTCCATCTCCTTCGTCGCCATCGATCTGTTCCCTCCATCTCCCTCCCCGCCATCGATCTCTTTCTCATCGTGTTATATTGCGTCGCCATTTGATTCATCTCTCTTACTCTCACATCGCAGATCCGGTAACCTCCGCCGCAACGACATCATTCTCCCCTGCGTAATCTTCATTGCCGAAGACGGTAACGAAGATAACGATAACACTGTCATATGCTTGATCAAGCGGTCATCAATTCGTACCCTAGGTTTCCATTCTCAAAGGGTCAATGTGGTGGAATCAACAGTTCAATGTGTTCGATTTGTTTGTGCAAGTACAGGAAATCTGAGATGCTAAAAATGTTGTCGGAACTCGCCGCTTCTAACGCCTCTCTTGACACTGCTCTTGGAGGTCGTTTCGCTTTCACAGTACTCCAATGGTTGGAGTGTTGAAAAGACAAACTCAATTTGAGTTTGGTGAAGGAGAATTCTAGAGAAGATGAGAACAAGCAAAAGACTGTTGGAAAGTTCCAGAGAGAAGAAGAGGAAGCCAAAATGAAGAAGATGAGGACGTCCGAGGGAATTGTCATCCATATATATATATATATATATATAAGGTTTCAAGACTTTCACTCTGGACACTTCAACCAACTTAATTTTAAATGGAGTCAATCTCCTGTCTCCTCCTAACAATAGAGTACGTCTCTTATCTCCTCCTGAACAATGGTATATATACAATGTATTGAAAGGTATTATCATATACAATGACTATCCATAACACATATACAATGGTTTAATCAAACCATCATTTTCAATGACATAATTTATATGATTAGTTTCAATTCACCTAATCCTCATACAATTTCTACAACGATCATGACTATCCTCCACCAATAGCCCAAAATAGATATTTCTAAACGGATATACAATCTATTTAACATATATTTCATCAAATTTCCATCAGTGAGTGATTTAACAAATCCAAGTACACCATTCATTTACATATCCTCCTAATTTCACATTTCTCATATCAATTTCATTATTTATACAAAATAATTATCAAACACAAATTTGGGCAAATTTTTTCATTTTTCAAATATCAACCCCAAAGCCAAATTTCACCATTTTAACACGAGAGCTTCATATTCAAAGCTCCATACTCATTTTGCAACTCAACATGGAAAACCCTTTTTTTAATTGGAGCCCAAACCCTAGTTTACCCAAAATCACTCCCAAATCCCATCATCTATACATAACGACAAATATCTAGGTTAAAAGCCATATTAAAGTGTAGAATATCCCTACCTTAAGTGTAGAAATCCAAAGGAGATAAGGAGGAATTTCAAAGATGCCCAAACTCGTTTTTATTCAGATCAATAGGAAGTTTACGAGATGCTCCATCTTTTTAACAAAGGGACTAGGATTGAGAGATCCCTAAATCTAGGTGTATTTGTAGAGAGGGAGAATATTTTAGAGTGAGAGAGAGAGAGAGTGCCGAATTAGGGTTTTGAGAAGAAAGGAAATTAAAAGGTGATATAAAACTGTTCTGCTATGAATTGATATACGTAAGGCTCGCTCGAGCGAAAGAGTTGTCGCTTGAGTGACCAGACACAATAAGTGACCTCGCTCAAGTGCAAGAAGTGTCGTTCGAGCGCAAGAAGTCTTGCTCGAGCGAAGAACTTCACATTCTCAAAAAATTCCGCATCTGGGAAAAATACTGAGAACTCTCGAAGCTCGCTCGAGCAAAGAAGCAATTTTCTGGAGAACAACTTGAACAACTAGCACCCAACCTGCTCTGAACATGCCCAAAACACTCCAATACTCAAATAAGAACGGGAAAAAGAGGGATAGAGACATAAAAAAAAAATATTAAACCTCAAGGTTCGAGTCTGGAATACAATAAAGATCGGATCAAAACTGGAATCGCTATAGATAATTAAAAATGAGTTTTTAATTTTACTAAAGTGCGACCTAACCACGATTGAGGTATGTTTCAGTGGTTTTGTATTTTCTTAAGTAAAAAAATTGCAATAAAAAAATAATGAGCCGAGCCATTATTAATTTTTTAAAGATTTTTTTTATAAATATTATATTTTTTTAAATATAGTTATGTTAAGTATGTCTAAAAATTTAAAATTTTTTTAATTTGAATCGTTTATTTTTTAAGATCAATTGAATACAACATTTAAAAAAAAATTAAATAAAAGTAAAGGTGATGTATTTTTGAATTATATTTGCCAGGGTAGTACCGGTCTTAAAATTTTAATGTACGGCACATTTAATTCATTATCATTATCATTATAAATGGTAACTTTCCGTTCCCACCAGACACATCGCTTTCAAATTTCGCCTCCACTAGCTTAGAGTTTTTGTCTAAGCGTTCTCTCTCTCTCTCTCTCTCTCTCTCTCTCTCTATATATATATATATATGTAGAGTAGAAGATAATAGATAGGTTAGGAACTTGAAGATCTAGCAGTACATGTATATATAGGTGGGGTGGGTGGCGTGGCGTTGATATATATACATAAAAAGGAAGGATGGGAAGGTCACCATGCTGTGAGAATGTGGGGTTGAAGAGAGGGACATGGACACCTGAAGAAGATCAAAAGCTTTTGGCATACATTGAAGAACATGGTCATGGAAGCTGGCCTGCCTTGCCTGCAAAAGCAGGTCTATATATGTATATACTATTATATAAAAGTGTGTACGTCAATTAGTGTGGAGTAAGGATCTCTAGAGTTTTTTTTTCTTAAAGTTTTCTAGAGTGGTGCATTGTGTGGTTGAGATTTAATGATAAGTCACATCAATTTTTCAACATTAAATGTCAACCACACAATACACCACTTTAAGAAACTTTAAGAAAAAAACACTCTAGAGGATCCTTGCTGATTAGTGTGAACACTATCTTCATGGCATCTTTTTCTTATTTTGAAAAGTTCTTTCATTTCACTCAAACTGTTTATGAAAAAATCAAACTGATTCAAATATTTAGAATATGGTTTCTATTCATTTTTTTTTTTGGTTTACAAACTACAAATCTTTACACAAGCATCACCTGTTTACTCACAACTAGAATATATATATATATATATACACACACGCACAAACACAGACACAACAACATTTTATATTTTTTTACCCATAGTCTTGTGGCTTGATAGTGACATGGAGGTAACACTTAGATGTTTATAAGAGAGAGATTGGAGGTTTAATTTTTGTAGAAACTAATCCAACAACTAACAAATGACTTTACTAATAAAAATATTAAAAAAAAAACTGATTTTTCTTTGGCACTCAACTTATAAACTAACATATTGGCTTAAAATAAGTCTACAAATAAGTTATTGCATAAATAAATTAGTTGGCTTGTCATATTTTTAAATTTTTTTATAGTAACTTTTTAAAATGGCTAAAATTATTTTTTTGACGAAAATTTGACATGCTAAACAACCTTTATTTATTTAAGAAAATGGGTTGATAAGATCTGCAAAACAATGACTAAGTGATTGGATATTTATGTAGATGTAGATATGTTTGATAGTAAATATGGTGGTTGTGGGTGTGGTTGATAGGGTTGCAAAGGTGTGGGAAGAGCTGTAGACTGAGGTGGACAAATTATCTGAGACCTGATATCAAGAGAGGCAAGTTCAGCTTGCAGGAAGAACAGTCCATCATCCAACTCCATGCTCTTCTTGGCAACAGGTCTGCAACCCTAAACCATTTTCTTATAAAATGTTTCTAATCACTATCCATGATCAGTTCATGCACTAATTCCTCAACTCCTTTTTTCCTTTTCTTTTTATTTTATTTTATTTTATTTTATTTTATTTTTATTTTATATATATTCAATGATAAATAAAAAATCATACGGAATATTGTATTTTATTTATATTTATTTACTATATAAAAAAAAAAAGATTGTCATATCACTACGGTTTGCCAACTCATTCATACTGTATATATATATATTTCGTATAAAAACATGTATGCTTAACATTTTTGTTCTATACTACAGCAGTAGTGATATCATATTGTGCGTTGCTCATTCATTATTTATTTATTTTTTATTTTTTTGTGTATAAATAAAAATAAAATTTTCATACAAAAATATATATCATCCGTATTGTACATTTGTTGTTAACTAGAGCACAACAAAAAATATACAAATATTTTAAATTTTATTAATAAATATTTTTAAAACACTTGTGGTGTGGAGCTGCTGGTTGCTTGCTGCTGCAAGGACTAGTTTGGGTTATTATTGCCCTGTTTTTGTATGTAAATGGGTGCTCTTTCGGTGTTGTTGTTGTGTTGTCATTTGTTTTTGTGCTTTTGGATGCTTTCTCATCAATCTTGTCATGATGTTTGCATATGATTGGATTTGCTTTTCATATGATTAGGTTTGCTCTTCAATGTCGGCCTAATTTGGAATTGATTTTTCTTGCTATAATACTTGTTGCACCCTTTCTCTTTTTCTCTTTATTGATGTATTATCTCTTGTAAGTTTGATTTTCATTTTCTTTGCGGATAAAAAAAACACTTGTTTTTTTACATACGAAGTATTGTACAAATTGTACAATACACAATATTTTACCATACGAAAAAAAGATACATATGATGGACTCATATCATATGTTTCTTGTCTTGCTAAATATTGTGATCTAATGAGGAGTTACAAGACAATTTTTAATTACCACAAAAATACTAGAGGTATTCCTCATGACTTTTTATAACACCTTTTTTCCTTTTTTCTATAAATTAATTAGCTAAAAATTAAATAAATACTAGGGCATAATGGTTCACTACACTGCTTTTGAGAGATCAAAAAAGGAAAATACAATTTTTACAATTTTTGCATTGCGCACCGTAAAAATCCTTTTTTTTGTGATAGTGTAATGACATTTTTATAATTAAATATCTCTTTCAAAATATTTAAATATTTTAAAAATATAAATTATATATATATATATATATATTTCTGTTTATATAACATAACTCACGAAAAAGAAAGAAAAGGATCATGATCTAAACACAAAAATGGGAAAGATGATGCAAACACATGAATTATATGCATATTTTTTTTGTTTGTTTGTTAACACAATGTATTAATTAATTAATTAACCATTGTCACTCACTCATGGAGAAGTGATTTGGTGGTATGAGTGATTTGGTGGTACGGGCCACATGGTATCTTACGTGTGTCGTAATTGGTAGAGGGAGTAAAATTCACAATTTTATATCAAGTAATTAAAGATTAATAAAAAAATATAGTAATTTATGATTGATCAATGATATGACCACATGATGTTCTAGATCACTAAATAATTTTTCCTCACTCATATGTATCATATCAGAGCAGTGTCTATTCAAAGGACCCACTGTCCTCTAACATACAGGGCAGTCGAATTTATGAACAAATGTTCACTGCACGAAGCATACATTCACGTCTATGGCCTACCATATATAGTTTACTACTGTAAAGCTATACTACATGGTACTTCTTATTTATACTATTATTAGTACTAGGCTTATTTTATTTTACTTTTTATTTTTTGTTAATTGATTGAAGAAAAATCATAATTATAATCTAGAGTCCTATACAAATGATCATAAAATAATTATTAAAAAAGAACATCCAAATAAACCAAGTAAAGGGCAAACGATAGATGACTAGACCGTCTAATCCACTTGAGAATCAGAGACAAGTTTGTCTCTAAATTCAATTTTTGATGTGATGAGTCACACTTAGAAGTAATCTGATTGACTTATTTTGACATATTTATTTCAGAAAACATTGTACAAACAAAATTTTCTTTCAAGACTAGTACATCTTTACTAATACTTATAAGAAAAAAAATTAAGTTTTATTATTTGTATAATTTTACTCATTCATATTCTAAATGCATAGTGTAATTGTTCTAGTTATTAATAATGTGAAAGTATATTTGATTTATATTTAGATGGTCTGCCATAGCAACTCACTTGCCCAAGAGAACGGACAATGAGATCAAAAACTATTGGAATTCACATCTCAAGAAAAGATTAACCAAAATGGGTATCGATCCGGTGACTCATAAGCCCAAGACTGACTCCCTCAACCCTGGCCAACTAAAAGTTGCTGCCACCCTCAGCCACATTGCTCAGTGGGAGAGCGCTCGACTTGAAGCCGAGGCCAGAGCCACTAGAATCGTCCGAGAATCCACCCTCCTCAGATCCTTCTGTTCTTCTTCAGCTCAACTTATCCTTAACAAAGCTAATGCTCTGCCACCACTACCACCACCACCACTACCGCTACAGCCCCTATGTCTGGATGTATTGACAGCATGTAAAGGGGCATGGCTAACGACACTACTCAAAGAAAATGGTTCCACCATCACTGGAACTCTAGAGGCGCCGACATCAACGTTGAATTTCTCGGATAAACAACTTTTGATCCCTAACTTGGGAAAATCAAACAACAGCATTGGAGAAGTCAAAGAAAGTATGGAGAACACAGTTCTAGTTCCGAATTTCATGGAAGGGCTTACAGATCTGTTGATTGAAAATAGCCATGACCACCTTGATCACGACCTTAACTATTTCGAAGAGAACAATAATTATTGGAATAACATATTGAATTTGGTCAACTCTACTTCTCCATCAATTGGTTCGCCAGTGTCTTAAATGATGAGCAACAATGATTAATGGTAATTAGTTGTGTGTGAGCCGAATTCTCTATTTTAAAATCTCTGTTTATTAATTTCTAATTAAATGTACAATTATGAGAATTATTGTAGACCTAATAATCTTATTCTAGTACTTCCAGACATTTGTTTTATCCCAAGTAATTAGAATAAATATTGAGAGTTCCAATTTTAAAATTTTAAAGAGAGCTTTAATGATGTGACAATGGAATTTACATGTGATATGATGTGTGTGCCTATATTTTTATTTTGTTTTATTTTTTTTTCTCTCTTGTCACATCACTAAAACTCTCTTTAGAATTCTCAAATTAGAGTTCTCTATCATTGTTGAAGTAATTAACATGACAAACAAAATTTTTGCATAGTAGTCATAGCAAAAGGGACAAATACTCACTTATGTGCTACTACCATGTATAGAAGCCATGACTCGCTTCAAGTTGAAGTCTTGGTCTTCTTGCTTAAAAATATATAAAAAAAAAGAAAAGTATTTGATGAATCCATTTCCTTTTTAACTCCGCCTACGTGTGAACTGATGTTATAGTGTTCGATTTATCAACACAATATTTTACGTTTAAGAAAAATGATAAATACATCAAATTTGAACTTATCTGAATCGTTTGAATTATATTTGAAAATCCTAAGTGATTCGTGATTAAATCAAGATTAAAATATTCTAAATCCCAGAAATCCAAAACACACAATCTAAATCAACAAGCACTTACGAAAGTGATTTAAATTGTTTGTTTTTCAGAATAATTAAAAAATCGACACAAACGATTTTTACGTGGAAAAAACCACAATTGGACACCTCCAACTGTGATTAAAAAACCACGGGCGAAACGCCACTAATCAATCCACTACTGAAGTAAAAAAGATTACAAAGATATCATATAAATTACCCAACTCAGTCAATTTTGTCTTCGAATCTTCTGTAACTCTTTCTCCACGACTTCGTCTCGGAACTGATCAATCCTGAAGTTGATTCCACAACCTCTCTTACGTATAGAATCAAACGCCTTTTGAAACTATACGCTTGAATCTTCGAAATCCACTGAAGAGAACTCTCTCTTGAATTTAAAGTAACCAACTCCTTGATGTATGTATTTTAGATCATGAGTGAAGAACTCTTCTCAAAACATCAAGAAAAAACTCATCAAAACTTCAGAAGAAAACTACAAACAAAACCCTAGGACTCTTGAATAAGATCTAGGAAAAAAGTAATCCTAAAAACAACCTAACAGATATAAATAGGAATCCTGAATCCGCGATCTCTGCTCGAGCGCCCAACATCCCGCTCGAGCGGCTTCAACAAAATACGTGTGTGGTAACACAGTGGTCCGCTCAAGCGCTTCATAACCCGTTCGAGCGCAAAATCACACACTCCAGTACTTTTACAGACCTGTCAAAATACTGAGAGACCAAAAACTCCGCTCGAGCGTCAATGTCCCCGCTCGAGCGGGAAGAACAAAAACACAAAAAATAAACAACTTTAAAAACACAAGGTTTCGTATCCGGATTTGACAATCAAGGGACCTAACAATCTCCCCCTTTGTCAATTCCCGGACAAAACCTTTCTAAACAAATGTCCTTAAACACACGCACTAGACAAGATTAAAAACAAATAATAAAAAAAACTCAAAACAACTCTATAAAACAAACAATCTTGCCAATCTTGCCATGTATCGGTCCATCAATCCAATTCTTCATCCAACATTCACCTGTGAAAAGACTAGCAACATACCAGAAAAACCAAAACTTGTGAAACTATATAAGAATATATCAAAACGTATCCATCCGATAGAACCAAAGGAACAAAATATCCATATGAACAAATTATCCATATGACATAACCAAAAGAACAAAATATCCATATGAACAAAACAAAAGAACCATCTTACAAAAAAAATGTACCATGTACCATCACTAGAGACCAAAGCACCAGAACGCTCGAGTGTATTTTTTCGTCTTGCAGTAGTTTGCTCTTTGCTTTACAGTTCTGAGAGAGGTATTTTTGCGCTCGAGCGCTCTTATTCGAGCTCGAGCGGGTGTCAGCTTGCCTTGAATCACGCTCGAGCGTTCATTCCTACGCTCGAGCGGACCGATTTTATACAAAACTCCCTCCCTCGACTCTTCAGGTCATTTTTTTCTTCCTCCTCTTCAGTTTCTCAGACATAGGGTTTGGCTCGTGGGCTTTGCGTGGTCGATTTCACCTTTCTTCCTTCTCTTCCTTACTGATTTCTCTTTTGGTAAGTTTTACCCTCTCTTCTCCTCTGTTTTGTCTGTTATTTCGGCATTTTTGGGGATTGTATTTCATTTTTTGGGTTTTTTGTGTTTAATTGTTTTTCCCCTTTCTCTCTCACACACTTTCACTACATGGTCTGGTCTTCCTCATGTTGCATTTCATGTTTGTGTGTATGAAATCAGTGTTGTCCATTCGCCCTAGGGTTGTGAGTTCCACATGCTTGAGGTTGTTTGTTTGTGTTTGTGCTACCTGTTTGAGCCCTTGTTTTGACCACAAGATGGAGAAGTGTTGCCATATGAAGTTCTATTTGTTTTTATATCAGTGTTTAGCTTCACTAGGTCATTAATATTCTGCCATTGTCATTATGCACATTTTTGCATTCTGCATTTCATTGATATTTGTCTTCCATGTTTATGAAATGATATCCTTGAAATTTGTCATCCATGATTATGCATTATGCGTTTAATGTTACTAATGGTCTCTGTCTTGTGCCTGTTTTGCTCTTCGGGTTTGGTTTCTTTTTGGCTTTGTTGGGTTTTCTGGTATTAGTCCTCTCTCATCTCATCATGTCTGCCCCTAAATGCCGAAAGGCAACTGTGTCTCGTCCTACCTTTAATTCTGAGAGGTTTCCGAATGCTAAGCAAGACAAGTTGTTCCATAAATCTTTTGAGGCTCGCACTGTTCACCTAGAACGGAATGTCCAGCCCAACACTTTCGAATCCATTCCGATCAGTCCATTGTTTGATCCTCTAGGTGGTGATTTGGTGTTGTCTTTTTCTGGGCGTCAAAATCTCGACTGGGTGCGAGACTTTTACTGCAATATTGAGCAAATCAGTGACTTTGAGCCTTCATTCACTACTTGGGTCCAGTCCAAATCCGTTTCTGTCACCCCTACACTCATTCGCCATCTTCTTAAGGTTGATCAAGTGTACCCTCAACACTATCCTTTTCCTGTCCCAGGTCGTCCTACCTGTGATTTCAATCATGTGACTGAGGTGTTATGTGGTTCTTCCCGTCCTTGGCCTACGGGTGCCTTGATTAAACAGCTTGAACTTCTTCCAGAGTTTAGACTGCTTAATTTGATTGTTTGTGCCAACATCCTTGTGACCACTCACTCCTCAGAAATTAATCAAGACCAAGGTTTTGTTTTGTTCGGTATTGCGCATCACATGTCAATTGATCTAGCTACCCTGATCATTAGGAAAATGATAGGTGTTTTTGGGAATAAACAGTTAGGCCTTCCTTATGGTTGTTTGATCAACCGTCTGTTGTCTGAACTTGGGGTTCGCGTGTTAGAGGATGATGAGTTTGCCTTCCCCTCCAGACCATTCACCAAGAAAACTGTTTCTCAGAGTCAGGCTCATGTTAAGGGGGAGTCTTCTCGGGCTGCTCCTTCTGCAGGTACCACTGCTGGACTTGCTGAGGAGGCTGAATATGATGCTGCCGCCGCCGGGGGTGAGGAGGATCCTACTCCACCTGTTCCCCCTCGCACTTTTCCTGATCCGCTTCAGCATTTTGAGGAGGCTATGACTCGGAGATTAGACTTTCTCGATGCCCGTTTTGATGCTTTTGATGGTCGTCTTGGTCAGATGGAGCAGACTGCCGCTCACACTACTTCGCAGCTGGACCACATCATTTCCTTACTGACGCTTCAGCCGCCACCTCCTCCACCTGGTGCATGATTTCTTGCTTTCTTGATTCCCGGTCAAAAAGGGGGAGAATTTGGTTCTGGTGCTTTGGTCTCTAGTGATGGTACATGGTACATTTTTTTTTTATAAATAAAAACAAAATACTCAATAACTAGAGATGAGACCCGAAACAAAAGTAGATGAGCACATTCAGCCAGAATTGAATACTAAGATGAGATAATCCGCAATTCATGAAGTCTGGAAACTTGCAGTTGTTAAAAAAAATGACACTGAACATCATGAGCAAAGCAGATAAAATATAATCAATGATCATAAGCTACATGAGAATGTACAACTCAAAATCCAACATGAGAGCTCACAAAAAAAATGTGTGTGTGTGCAATCCATGAGAGGTCACTGAGCTAGAGTTAATCCTAGTAGTGATCGAATGGCTGGACCTCCATGAGCCCGACTCTATATGGGAACATCATTTTCAGGTACAGGTAGCATGCACCTCTAAGGACATAGCTTGGGAGGCTAGAGGCGGACATACTTTGGGAAGGAGATTGTTTAATTTGAAGACGGGAAGAACCACATAACACCTCAGTCAAGGCTACACACAAGTAGAGGGTGTTGACTATGATGAGACGTTTGCCCCAGTTGCACGTCTCGAATCTATTCGTATTTTGCTTGGTGTTGCATGTTTTCTTGGCTTTAAATTGTTTCAAATGGATGTGAAAAGTGCTTTTCTGAATGGGTACTTGAAAGAAGAGGCATATGTTGAGCAACCAAAAGGGTTTGAGGACCCTAAATGTCCTAATCATGTCTACAAGTTAGACAAGGCTTTGTATGGATTGAAACAAGCCCCTCGAGCTTGGTATGATAAACTTACTACATTTCTTCTTGATAATGATTTTCAAAGGGGTAGTGTGGATAAGACTTTATTTGTGAAACATACTAAGTCTCATATTCTTGTTGCTCAGATTTATGTTGATGATATTGTGTTTGGATCCACTGCTGATCATCTTGTGAAATATTTTTCGGATTGCATGACACATGAGTTTGAGATGAGCATGGTGGGAGAGTTGTATTTTTTTTTGGGTCTTCAAATTAAACAGTCTCCTTCAGGTATATTTGTGTCTCAGTCTAAGTATGCGAAAAATCTTGTGTCTAAGTTTGGTCTTGAGTCTGCCAAACATGCACGCACTCCCATGAGCACCAGTCTTCACCTCTCCAAAGATTCCTCTGGTATTGA